AACAATTAAGTGCTACCTGAGGACAATTCAATAGTATCCAAGGTTTCTTTACAATCAACCTCGAATACTGGGGGGCATCACCCTCAGATGTTACACTTTCAAGGAAAATACTTCGTGTCAAAGGGCCTCGATAGAGAAACTTTATAATGGGCCAAACGGTCGAATGAACTGTGTCTGTATAGATTAGTCGAGCCCCGATGGCAAAACATGTACGCATGTATAAATTATACAAAGAAGCATTCTTTCTATATTGAACATCTTGTGTCTCAAAGAAAGTTTTCTACTATACAAGCTCCATACTTATGATTTTGTGAGAAATGGCTCAAGGGCCAAGTGCAAATATACCTCGTACACTCGAGGGCTATCGTCGACGATCGATATATTCGAGTAGTCTAAACTCAAATTCATAAGACCTCAAAGAGGCACCCCTCGATCTATAGGCCAAGGACATTACTCTCGAGGACTAACACTTCGAACAAGTTCGAAGTTTTATTGGCAAATAAGCCCAAGAGGCATACCCAAAGGCTACGACCAAATTAAGGCGGCTCGGAGACGTCCGAATCCCGCAATAAAAATAGGCCTTTGAATTCTTTGAAAATCGGTTAGAAAAGGCTACCCTCGGCAAGTAATCAAAAGGGCTTAGATGAAATCAGCCCTCGAAAAATCTTAAGAGGTATCAAATTATCTTAACACAAACGTGCTAAGGCACAAAAAGCAAAGGGGTTTTAATCGACATCGAACCCTCAAAAAACCCAATGGGTAAAGAATATGTGTTAAGGCATAAAGAAATTTTTTACTAAGTCTTCTAAGCCGAAAAAGGGAAAAAATAGCCATCTTTTAGAGGCCATATCGGCCCAATCTAAAGCGCCTAAGGGCCAATACACTTGGAGTTTGAGATTTTGTTCTCACTCAATTCAGACCTAAAGGTTCCACTATTCCGAGCTCAAATAAAACTGACTTGAATATAGCTCGAGGATTCATGATTATTTGATATAAAACCTTAAGGGGTCTGTTACTGTGAGTTCGAAACTTACTCAAACTCGGCTATAAAAATAGTACGATTACGGCTTCAATCAAACCATCCAAAATCAAAATCCAGAACATATTGTTGAGCTCGGGGACTCGCCCTCGCTTGACTAAAAAACCTAAGGTTTTTTCTACTCTGAGCTCGAGCTATTGTTCACTCAATTATAGAGGCTACAACAACCCGATTGCAACAAAGTTTTCACAAGGCAAAGGCAAAACAGAATTTATCATAAATCAGAAATCGGAGACGAAACGAAAAGAGAAGGAGTCTTTCATATATGCAAAGTATTTACAAAGACCACACATGGTCTTACACAAATTATTTCCTAAGTGCGTAGTCCGCCTCGGGAGCTGCATCTTCGGGAGCTTCATCTTCATCTCCTCCATTATCGGATCCACTCGCAGAGTCTTCATCATCGGAAAGCAATGCTCCGGCCTCGTCCTCCAAAACCTTCGCACTCTCGATATGGGCCGTGAGGTCGAAGTCACGAGCATGTACCTCCTCAAGAGTCTCTCTCCGAGAGTGATGCCTAGAATGCTCGGCAACACGGGACAATCTAACCTCAGCAGTGTCAGAAATTTCCTTTGCCCGAGTGTTAGCGGCTTCAGCATCGGCTCGGTAGGAGGCCACGAGCGCCTTTGCCTCGGAGGTGTCCCTTGCAAGCTCAGTAGCCAACCGAGTCTCGAGCTTTTCAACCTTCTGGGATCGGGCCAAGTTCTCCTCCTTTACACTTTGGAGGTGACGCTCAACCGAAGACAATTGGGCCCGAACTGCATCTTTCTCCAAGGCGAGACGGTCCATGTTCTACTTCCACCCCAAAGTCTCTGCCTCTTTTATCTTGGCATCCTCACGAAGCTGCTCAAGCAATTCGGCCTTCTGCTGAACCTGCAGAATCAAAGTGTTAGTCGCCAATATCAAGTTAATACATAACAAGCTCCCAAAAATTTACATTACCTGTTCAATGAGCTCGGTCTGATCTTTGATGAGCTCTTGTCAGCTCGGCTCGAATACTCATGATCTCCTCTTCATTTTACACATAGAGGAGTTTGAGGGCGTCTCTTTCCTCCATAAGTTTTTGAGATCAGCCTCACATCGGGCCAGCTCAGCTCGGTATTTAGAGGACGCTTCTTGATGGAGCGTCGTAGCCTGTGCAGAAAGAAAGGAAATCAGACTTAGAGAAATAAGAACAAACGCAAGCATGGTAACATCATCGAGCGCATGTAAAACTCACTTGGTTCAGAAGCCGCTGAGCCTCATCAAAAATAAGTGATGCATCCAGGTCGGAAACATCATCGACCCTCGCGAAGCAGCCGCAAAATATATCATCCCCTTCGGAGGCCGTCCCCAAATCGAGTGTCCCCATGAACCAGGCATCCCGAAACTGCCCCTTAAAGAATGTGGGGCCGGTGGCAAATCATCAATGTTAATTGCCCCAAGCGAGTCACTTGGGGAATTCTCTTCTCTTTGAAGGGCCTCAGAACTAGACCCTTCGAGCACACCCGCCGGTTGCTCATCACGGCATGAGGCATCCTCAACACTCGATGACTCAGGGATTCTGCTCAGACCTTCCTGTGAGATCACTTCGATCTGCGGCTGAACCTCCTCGACCGTCATCGGTTCAGTAGTTCTCGAAACTTCAATGCCTACCCTCTTCCGAGACACCAGCAGGCAGTCGGCATCTTCTCCCTCCTCGTCTTCATCTCGTAGCGTTTGGGCTACATTGGCAGACATAACGACGGGATCAGTCTTCGACTTTCGAGCCTCGCTTTTCCTAGGCTTTAGGGTATCTGGTGGCGAGGCCCTTCTCCTTTTCTTGTCTTTGATCGGCTTCGGGACCTCCTCTTCCCCGGGGGGAGGCGGCCTCATGACGACATTATCTCCAAGACCTGTATGAGAAGAAATCAAGTTAAAAGGAAGTATTTTATAGGAAAGCATCAAACACGGACAGGGGAACTTACCATGATTTTTGGCCTCCCATCGACCCTTGGCCAAATCACGCCACGAGCGCTCAGCATACGAAGAGGTTGAAACTAGCTGTCGAACCCAACCTGCAAGGTCCGGGACTGCACCAGGAAACCAGGGGGAAGCTGCACCATAAATAAGAATATAGATGAGAAGAGGAAAAGGAAACATAATAAGTAATCAAACGTTATCGGTGAGGTTCTACTTACGCTTCATGTTCCATTCTTCGGGGAATGGTATCTTCTCGGCGGGGATTAAATCGGAGGTCCTGACTCGGACAAATCGACACATCCATCCTCGGTCCTTGTCCTCGTCTATGCTCGAGAACAACATCTTCGTGGCCCGGCGCTGAAGCCTTATCAGTTCCCCCCGATAAAGACGGGGGCTGTATAGCCTAATGAGATGATCGAGGGTGAAAGACATCCCCTCGACCTTGCTCGAGAAAAATATGAGCAAAATGACAATACGCCAAAAAGAGGGGTAGATTTGGCCTAGGGTTACTCGGTATTGGCAGCAGAAGTTGATTATGACAGGATCGACGGAACCTAGTGTGAAAGGGTAAGTATACATACTTAAGAACCCTTTCACATGAGTGGTGATGTCCTCCCCGAGGGTAGGAATCACCACCTCTTTATTCTCCTAGTGGCAGTCCTTTTTTACCTGCTCGAGATCGCCTTCGGATATCGAACAGATGTATCTAGACATGGGCTCGCATCGGCCAGGAACCGAAGAGGGTTTTTCAACTTTAAAGTCAGAAGTAAGTTCACATGGCCCAGGGGATGCACTCTTTGATACGTGGTTCCACCGGTGTTTTGTCACCGGCCGGCCGCGATGAGGAGGCCTTTTCTTCTTGAGGAACGGTCTTTGATGTTTTTTCCATTGCTATATGAGGTTTAAGGAAGGAAAAGGCGGAATTTGCGTTTTAATAAGAGATTGGCAAACGGAAATCGACAAAGTTGATGAACTTGAAGAGAATAAAAGAGCTTTTGAAGATTAGAAGAAGTTTGAAAGTAAAGTTTGAAAAGATTAAAAAGGTGGTCTATTTATAATAACCACTTTGACGGTTTGAAAGCACTAGTGGCTGACCATCAACTGGCGTTAATTAATGACCTTGGGAACTGCGCAGGCGCGACGCTTCAATCACTTATGTCGCTTACGTCACGATGTTGACGTCATAATTGATTGAGGTATTAAATCGAAGTCTCAAATTCGTTTCTTCTCGTTACACTCCAAAAAACGAGGGGACCATCTATATACGGTCGAAATCGAGCATACCCGATTTCGTTGGCATGGGACTTGCCTCGAGGGTGGCCTCGCAATAAATCAGACCGGAGCTCGAAGATGAGACATCGAGCCTAGAGATCGAAGTGTACGTTGAGACCGAGGCCAGCAACAATCGAGACTAAGTATGACCGACTTCGAGGGGAACATAATAATAGAATGACGAGATATCAGTAACCGGTCGAAAATCACGGCGTGAATCTCGGAACAGACCAAATCAGAAGCGGTTAACTAGCTGTTTATACGATTTTCTTCTGTAATTAGAGACATACCATAATTAGGTTTCCTCTACTATATAAAAAGGAGTTCCAATCATTTGTAGGGCAGGATTTTATTCACTCATAAGAATATACATATACGCTGCTTTCTTTGTCTTACTTACTGTTCATCACTGCTTGTTCCATCCTCTATTGTTCTTATTAACTAATGTCGAGACTATCTCGACTCGAGGTCGAGGCATTGTTTGTAGACCGGTTTGATTTATTTTATTATCTAATTTATCTATTTAATTCGTTGTTTATCAATTGGTACTAGTTTAAATCACATATCCTTAAAACCACAATATAAGTTTAATTGTTACTCAATTTTTAGGGTAAATAATATTCATGTTATAATCTCGATATTATAATTTCATTATTACTTATTCACAAATGCACTACATCCCAAATCAAGAAAGAATAAAAAATAATCCATTAACAAAAAGGTGAAAAGTAAAAGCAAGAAAACGCTGAGGAATTCCCATAAGGCTTGAGGAAGGGCTCAGCTACTCTTCCAACCAAACTTGCTGACAAAAGGACATATCTTAAATAGCCTTTAAATGGGAGAGAAAGAGCCAAATCTAAAGTCTTTGGATGATTCAATGCCTAAAAGCCCGTCATCAGTGGCTGCGCCTGCAAAAACAGACATGGCCAAAGCTTCAATTTCATCAGCATTAGCTCCTCAACCTTCTTGGTTCACTGCCAAAAGGTATCATTTCGCAATTTTTTGAATTTATGTACGTTAAATGGAAGAAACCAAGGTTCCTGGGATTTCTTCATTGTTTCGATACTTAAGAAGCAAGAGCCTTTTTTTCCCTTAAATTTGTCTGATGAACAGTTTCTGAAGAAAGATTTGACTTTAGAGGTATTAATATGGTGATGTAATGCTCATTATCACTTTGGGTTGTAATTTTTTTTATTTTTTATTTTTTATCTTGGCTAGAGGATTGTAATTTTTAGAGGGTTTTTTGTTGTCATTATTAGATACTAGAAGTTCATGATCTATGTCTGCGGGTAATAGAGAAATGAATGGATTAATTTTGTAAGGGTTTTATTCACTAACTGTGAAAAACTTTTAGCTGGTAGGTTACTTAAAACCTCAATTATAGGTATATGATCTTAGTGAGTAATGTAAATTGATGACCTGGGAAATATAGTAAGTCACTGCTAGTGTATATAACTTTATTCTAATGATACTTGTAGGGTTGACAGAGGATTTAATTAAAGCAGCGGCTAATGTATTTGATCTGAAAAAAAAACATATGGCTCTTAGAACTGGAGTGTCTATCACTATCCATTTTATAGGTCTTATTGTTATCTAGTACCAAGTTATATTAGCTTATGACATTTCTGCTGCCCATTGTCAGGTTACTAGCCATATTCTGTGTGATCAACTTGTTAAATTATGTGGATCGTGGAGCTATTGCGAGCAACGGTGTTAATGGGAAACGTAGTGAGTGTACTAAGAGCGGTACATGCTCTTCTGGCAGTGGAATCCAGTAAGATTTTTTTTTTTTTTTTTAAAATGTTTGTGAAATTTCATTACAAGTTTGCTTGGTTCCCAAGTGATTGATCAAAAGGGGAAGATGTGTATTTGATGTTCACTGTCTAAGTTTCTTCCTGGAAGATATTTAGTGTTTTGCTTTCTAATATTCTTTATTTTCTTGATGATTGACTAGTTATTGTATCCAAGAGTCCAATGATGTACTTATTATACTTTCCCTTGGATGATCAGCTATTGGATAATAACTATTCCTTGCTAAATTTAATGATTGGAACAGCCATTAAGTTGCAAATCTGTATGCTGTTGCTCAGACTTAATGTTAATCTTTTGTCTATTTCTGCAGGGGTGATTTTAACCTGAACAATTTTCAGGATGGTGTTATATCATCTGCTTTCATGGTTGGGCTTCTCGTGGCATCTCCAATATTTGCCTCCTTAGCCAAGAGGTGATAAATATTAATGCATCACAGGTTTGGTGTTGAGATTTGATGTGTTGAGGTTGAGGCGTATTTCATATTTAAGTGCTATTACTGTAAAAAGCTAAGTTGCTCGGACTCGGGTGCGGATGTCCGATACGGGTGCAGATCCAGAGGTTAGATCCTTCATAATCTAAATTTTATGATTCGGGGGTACGGATCCAGGTACAGATACAACTGCAAGGATTCGGCTAAAAATAATTCACATATCTAAAAATAGAGTTATAAAAATATGTTTAATTTATGAGTTATGAGACATTTTGTGAAAAACTTACAAGGTCTTTAAGAAGGAGAAAACATTGATCAACATAGAAATTTCTATATTCAAGATATGCCATTTTCTTCAATTTCACCCTATTTTTTTTTAATTTCAGTATCATTGTATCTGTCCCGAATTTCTTCATTGATTTTGGTCAAAGTACCCAAAATTGGTTGACCAGATCCGATGCGGATCCCACACCTACACCCACACAACCGCACGTTGTGTCGACTGCTGCACCGAAAGTGAAGAGTCCGAGCAACTTAGGTAAAAAGTATATTTGAAAGCACCCTACAGAAATAAGCATTGCATTTCACTATGGAGATCATTTTTATCTAGCCAGTGAATATAATGAACTACTTTATTCTCATTGTACTCATTCTTTTTACCCCATTTTTTTTAGTTTGTCCCAATTTACTTGGTACGCTTTCTTGAAGTTTCAATCTAATATAAGATTTAATTACTTAAGATTCTTTTGTTTAATGTCAAACATCGCACTTTCCTTTCTAGGCCATGCCAAATCATTGATCACTTTCTGAAACAATTAACTCGCCACTTATTCTCCCACTTTTACTCTTCCTAGCATTTGAAGAAATCAAAAAGTATCCTTCATCTTAGAGGGATAACCAGGTGAAAATGACCTCTCCACCTCCAATCTTGAGGTTGAGGGTTCGTGTCACCACGGGAGCAAAGTGGAGAACGACCATTGTTAGGCAGGGCGGTTGGGGTGGTCAGTTTACCATATAAAAAAGTAAAAAGAAGAAAAGGATCCTTCATTTTACACTTGGACCCACTTGAACGAAATAATCCATATTTCAAACTCCAATTTGTTGTAGGTTAACGGTCTTTTCTACAAATCATTCAAAGTCAAACAATGACAATCAAATTGAATGGGAACTAAGTGCTCATTTTTTACCGTTTAACTATTATTTTAAGCATGTCTCTTCCTTCCAATGCACATGATATTAGTGATATAATTTGTCAACGAGTGGATTTGAAAACTTACATAATATTTCTAACCAGTAACTAAACTTTGTGTTTAACTTACCACTTATATTAAGCGCACTATAATCTGGATCAGTGCTTTCACCACAGCAAACTTCATAATTTGCTTGCCCTTCCTTCTATGGGATTAGTATATTGTTAAGAATGTTCATAAAACATGCAGTGATAACCACCAATCTAATCTTGAGATGATCAACCTTACCTTCAGCACTTACCTCTCCTTTTTCCGATGGCTCTTCTTGTTGTTTTCAGCTTAGTTTTTTCATCAATCATTCATCAGTGATTGCTTTTGAAACTTTGTTCGTTTTTATATCCTATTTTCATTTATGGTTAACAGAATTTATTTCAGCAGTGGTGGGAAATCCTTTGATATCACAGAAATCAAAGGTCTAGATGAGGTTTGGTTTGAGTGGGTGGAGCGTAAGTCAAACAACATGAGGAAAATGACTTTAAGCAGGAAAGTCATGCTGTGGATTTGTGGAATTCTGCACATTGCATCTGAAGGAAGGGGAAATGACCTTAGGAGATGGAAGATCAGAGATCACATGTAAACCTTTTTCTGCGCTAAAAAGTACAATGATTATGGCAGGTTCATTAGTGTTCTAGCAGTTCAGGAGCGCAAGGCAGTAATCATTTTGCCAGAAATAACATTTAATGGAGGGTGGAGAGATTTTGCTCTTAAGATTGAAAGGTTCATAAATAGGGAGGTCCCAGTCATTCAAAGAATGCCCATCCCAGTGAAGCAAATTCCTCCCAAGTCAGATGAAAATCATGCTTATTTGGAGGCTTTCAGAGCTGACAAATGGAAAGCGAAAGGATCCTCAACATCTGCTAGTGCTTCCAGCACTAATCGTATCACAGTAGTAGGGCCTGAAATCTCGGATCACGACGTTCTCTCCAGATGCCTGGTTGGAAGCTTCAAATCTTCTAAAGAACTTCCAACTCTATCGGACATTCGAAGATGGGCTAGCAGTAAATGGAGCTCAATCCCAGAGGTACAAATGTATGAAATGCATGGCTCCAAATTTCTTTTCGAATTTCCCTCAAGGAAATTGGCAGAACACATCAGAGTAGGAGAATGGAAATGGAGAAATCTGCTGATGAATTTTGACTGGTGGACGCCAACGACTGGATGTCTTCCTGCAGGCGCTACTCTCGATTGGGTATGGGTGAGACTTCTGGGAGTTCCTCTTCATCTCTGGTATCAAGACATCTTTAAACAAATTGGGGACAAATGTGGGGGTTGGATTGAAACTGAAGAAGAAACCACCTTGAGAAATCATCTGAAGTAGGCCCGCATTAAAGTCAAGGGTCCTTTTGAGCAGATCCCTAAATCTATCGAGCTTGAAAAAAATGGTGTTGTCTACACTATTCCGGTGTGGTGTGACCGTGTGAGGCACCGGCGAGCTGGAATTTTACTAGCAAAGATGAAAAGCTAGAAGGAGGGTTCAGGGAAAGTAGACTTATAACTGGGTCTACAAATGAGGGGTTGGTGCACAAGGTTCAAGGGACAGCTGGTTCAGACTCAAATTTGAAAATAAGGGAAGATATTATCATGGGGCCTGTAATTAAAGGCCCCGCCTACTAATGGGCCTGTTGAACTGGGCCAAGGAGTTCAACTTACAAAGTTCAATCTTGGTATTTCAAAAAGCCCAGAAATGGGGAATAAGGTCCAACTTTCAAACAAATTTGATATTCTCGATACAGATATAAGTGGAGATCCATTGATGGATGAGATTACTTCAAACCACCTGCTAAGGGATTCTGAACTCAACTCTCTCCCTCTTCTTATTTCTGAAGGTGACCAAGTCGCTTATGAATTTCCTAGTACTGAGGGATTATGCATGCGAGTTTCAAGAAAAGATGACAGGGAAACAATTATGGCGGGGGATTTCACTCCTTTCTCTCCTAGTGCAATGAATCCTCTGCAGATATTTGATTTTAATGAACGGGAAAATTGGTTGGTGGACGAAGCTGATCCTTTGGACACTCACTTTCTCGCAGCAGAGTCAGATGCTTCACTATGGGTTCGTAAAAATATTTTAAAGATGAGCAAGTCTTATGGGGTAAATTTTCAGGGGTGTGAAGAAGAAGCACTATCACTCTTCATGAAAATTGATAGGCGAAGGCAAGAGAAAAGATTGGAGACTGCTGTGAAAACAGTATCTACTCCAATTAGGAAGAAGGGGAGTATGGAGGTCCAAAATTTAGTTTTCAACATGAACTTTCCAGAATCAAGCTCAAGGAACAAGGGGAAATCCATCAGCAATGGTTATCAATGAAGGTAAAAATCTTATCCTGGAATGTTAGGGGATTGAATCGAAGAGTCAAGAGATCTGTAGTCAAAATGTTAATAGAGAAATGGAAGGCGGACATTTATTGTTTACAGGAAACCAAATTGGAGGGGGATATTAAGTGGTATGTGAAACAAATTTGGGGGAATGAGTGGGTCAAGTTTGGTTGTTTAGAAGCCAGTGGAAATAGGGGTGGCATCCTTGTATTATGGGACAGTAGGGTTTGGAAAGGAGAGGTGATTAATATAGGGAGTTACACTATCACTTGCACATTTGAGTCGCAAATGAATAACTTCTCATGGCACTTGACTGGAGTATGTGGGCCGCATAAAAGATTGGAAAGAAGGAGTGTTTGGTGGGAAGCTGCTGCTTCTAGGAGACTCTGTGCAGGCCCTTGGGTTGTTTGTGGCGATTTCAATATAACAAGATTCATGGATGAAAAGAGAAATGGCAATTCCATCACCAGAGCCATGACTGATTTTACTAGCTTTATTGAAGATATGAAACTTATTGATCCTCCACTACTTGGAGGGATTTATACTTGGACAAAGAGCAACAACTCTCATATAGCATCTAGAATTGACAGAATTTTGTTCTCTTCAGAATGGGATGAAAGCTTCAGAAGCATGAGACAATCAGTACTTCCTAAAGTATCATCTGATCACACCCCTATTGTTCTTGATTGTGGAGATTGGGAGAATGCTAAGTCATATTTTAAATTTGAAAACTGGTGGCTGGGTGTTGAAGGGTTTAGAGACAAGGTGGCTCAGTGGTGGTTCTCTTTCACCATTCAAGGCAGACCCGATTTTATCTTGGCACAGAAATTAAAACTCTTAAAAGGCAAACTCAGAGAATGGGGATCATCACAAGGTGAGAATCTGGAAGTCAGGAAAACAGATTGTCTGAATAAACTACTTGATCTTGATGCTGCACAGGAGATTAGGGACCTCACTGAAGATGAACTTATACAAAAGGCAAGTTTGGCCATGGATCTAGAAGAGATTGCAAAAACTGAAGAGATTTCATGGAGACAGAAATCAAGGGTACAATGGCTGAAACAAGGGGACAGAAACACCAAATTCTTCCATAGGGTGGCCAATGCAAGCAGGAGGTTTAACACCATTGACAGACTCAACATCAATGGTATACAGGTGGAGGATTTGAATACTATCAAGGTCGAGATCCTATCCTTTTATCAGCAGCTATACAAAGAGCCAGAGGAATGGAGGCCAGATTTCAACTATCCACATGCCTCTAAGATCTCTGAGGTGCAGTGGTTACAAAGAGAGTTGGACGAACAAGAAATTTTGGAGGGCCTTAGAGCATGTGCAGCAGATAAGGCCCCTGGTCCAGATGGATACACTATGGGTTTCTTCCTCCATTGTTGGGAGGTGATCAAGGTGAATCTCTTGAACACTTTTCATAATTTTCATTCTCAAGAATAATTTGAAAAGAGTTTCAATGCTACTTATTTAGCTTTAATCCCCAAGAAAGTGGGGGCAGGAGACTTGAAGGATTACAGGCCAATAAGCTTAACAGGGAGTGTTTATAAGATTATCTCTAAGGTCCTGACAGAGAGATTGAAGAAAGTGATTCATAAGCTGGTGGATGAGCAACAAATGACTTTTATTAAAGGCTGACAAATTATGGATGCATCTCTAATAGCTAATGAATGTGTTGACTCCAGAATCAAAGAGAAGATCCCTGGCATACTGTGCAAACTAGACATTGAAAAGGCTTTTGATCACATCAATTGGAGTTTTCTTCTGATGCTGCTCAAAGATTTGGGCTTCGGAATCAAGTGGATCAGGTGGATCCAATTTTGTATTACAAATGTCAGATTCTCCATCCTTATCAATGGATATCCTGAAGGATTGTTTCCATCTCAGAGAGGCTTAAGGCAGGGTGATCCTCTCTCACCCTTCCTTTCTATTATTGTTATGGAAGGTCTGAATTGCATGATCAAGAAGGCTAATATGGAGGGGTGGATAAGGGGGTTCAAGGTGCCTAACAATGCTAGTAGCAATATGGAAATCACCCATCTTCTGTATGCTGATGATTCTTTAATTTTTTGTGATGCTAAAGTGGAGCAAGTGACACATCTGACGTTGATTTTGACTGTTTTTGAGGCCATCTCTGGCCTTCATGTGAACCGGAGGAAATCCCTGATCTACACTGTTAATGATGTCACAGATACTCAAAGATTAACTGGCTCCTTGGGATGTGAGGTAGGATCCTTGCCTACCACTTATTTGGGGTTACCACTGGGTGCAAAGAGCAAGTCTCGTCAGATATGAAATGTTGTCCTTGAAAGGTGTGAAAAGAAGTTGTTTAGATGGAAGAATAATTATTTGTCTATGGGAGGGAGGGTTGTACTAGTCAACAGTGTGTTAGACTCTCTTCCCACCTACATGATGTCACTGTTCCCATTACCAGCAAGCATTGAGAAGAAGATTGATGCTCTGAGGAGGAATTTCACATGGCAAGGCAATAGAGAGAAACAGGGTTACCATTTAGTTAAATGGAAAACCCTTACAACTAGCAGAAGAGAAGGTGGTAATTTGAAGCAACACAATAAAAGCCTACTCATGAAATGGCTTTGGAGATTTTCACTAGAGGAACAAGCTTTATGGAGGAAGGTGATATGCACAAAATATGGGATTGAAGGTGAAGGTCAGTGGAGCTCAGGTGCAGCGGCCAGTCCCTATGGAGTGAGTGTGTTGGAGATCTATTAGAGCTCTATGACCAACTTTTATGAGCAACACCAGCATAAAGGTGGGGAATGGAGCAAAAACTTCTTTCTGGAAGGATGTTTGGATAGGAAATTGTCCATTTAAAGACAGTTTCCCTGATTTGTACTGCTTAGCACTTCAACCTGATGCTACTATTGCTGAAACCTGGAGCCAGCAGGGTTGGAATTTCAGTTTCAGAAGATTTCTCAATGATTGGGAGGTAACCAGAGTGATTGAGTTCCTTAAGGTCCTGGAAACTTTCAAGGGACCAGTTGAGTAAGTGGATAGACTGACATGGGATAGCAATTGCAGAGGAGTTTTCACTGTTAAATCTGCATATGAGGGCCTTAACAGATCAGTCCAGCAGCAAGGGCCTTGGTTATGGAAGCATATCTGGAGTTTGAAGGTTCCTTTTAAAGTTGCAGTATTTTGTTGGCTAGTGGTCAAACAGGCTGTCTTGACTCACGAGAGTTTAATGAAGAGAGGAATGCTCCTGTGTTCCAAATGTTTCCTATGTGGTAAGGCCACCAATGAAACAAACAGTCATCTCTTCCTTCATTGTCAGGTCACCAGTAGATTATGGCAGCTGTTCATGAGTATGAAAGGTCTAAGTTGGGCAATGCCAAGAGATACCATGGAGCTTTTGTTTGTGTGGGACAACTTAGCAGCTGGAACAAGTCAGGAGAAGTGGTGGAGCATCATTCCTGCATGTATTTGGTGGACAGTTTGGTTGGAAAGGAACTCCAGGTGTTTTGAAGATTTAGCCAACTCTGAATAGAAGATCAAAATGAAATGCATATTTTTGTTTCACTTTTGGTGTAAAGAAGCTTTAGTGCAAGATGTAGAGTCCCTAGTTGATCTCATTGGGTCCTTGTAACTGACACAAGTCTTGCCTTGTTTTTGTCTTTCTGGAAGTCTTGTAACTAGGGTCTGTTTCCATTAGCACTATCTTTGTGCTAAGTTCAATTTTTAATGAAATATGTTACCATTTCAAAAAAAGTAAACACCTAACGACATCCTAAGTTGCGAGGACTCTTCATTTTTGATGTCGAACTCGTCTCGACACGACACTGAGACGGGTGTGGGTGCGGGATACGTTTGGGATTCGGTCAACCAACTTTGGATACTTTGATTGGAGTCCATGGACAAATTTGGGGGAAAATTGAGATTTTGATTTCATAAAAATAAAAGATAAAACAAATTTAAGACATGGGAAATGTCATACGTTCATCTTTTTGTCTCATATTTGTTGCTACAATATACATGTAAGTTTTTCACAGAATATCTCTCAAAATTAGGATATCTTTACAGCTCTATTTTTATAATGTTGAATTTTCTTAGCCGAATCCCAGCACCCGTATCCATACCTAGATCTGCATCTCCGAATCTTAAAGTTAAGATTTTGCCGAATCCGACTCTCGGATCCGTATTCGAAACAATTAACTCGCCACTTATTCTCCCACTTTTACTCTTCCTAGCATTTGAAGAAATCAAAAAGTATCCTTCATCTTAGAGGGATAACCATGTGAAAAGGACCTCTCCACCTCCAATCTTGAGTTTGAGGGTTCGTGTCACCACAGGAGCAAAGTGGAGAATGGCCATTGTTAGGTAGGGCGGTTGGGGTGATCAGTTTACCATATAAAAAAGTAAAGAGAAGAAAAGGATCCTTCATTTTACACTTGGACCCACTTGAACGAAATAATCCATATTTCAAACTCCAATTTGTTGTAGGTTAACGGTCTTTCTTACAAATCATTCAAAGTCAAACAATGACAATCAAATTGAATGGGAACTAAGTGCTCATTTTTTATAGTTTAACTATTATTTTAAGCATGTCTCTTCCTTCCAATGCACATGATATTAGTGATATAATTTGTCAACGGGTGGATTTGAAAACTTGCATAATATTTCTAACCAGTAACTAAACTTTGTGTTTAACTTACCACTTATATTAAGCGCGCTATAATCTGGATTAGTGCTTTCACCACAGCAAACTTCATAATTTATTTGCCCTTCCTTCTATGGGGTTAGTATATTGTTAAGAATGTTCATAAAACATGCAGTGATAACCACCAATCTAATCTTGAGATGATCAACCTTAACTTCAGCACACTTACCTCGACAGTAAACACCTAGCGACATCCTAAGTTGCGATGACTCTTCATTTTTGATGCCGAACTCGTTTCGACACGATGCTGAGACGGGTGTGGGTGCGGGATACGTTTGGGATTCGGTCAACCAACTTCGGATACTTTGATCGGAGTCCATGGACAAATTTGGTGAAAAATTGAGATTTTGATTTCATAAAAATAAAAGATAAAACAAATTTAAGATATGGGAAATGACATACGTTCATCTTTTTGTTTCATATTTGCTGCTACAATATACATGTAAGTTTTTCACAGAATATCTCTCGAAATTTAGGATATCTTTATAGCTCTATTTTTATAATGTTGAATTTTCTTAGCCGAATCCCAGCACCCGTATCCATACCTAGATCTGCATCTCCGAATCTTAAAATTAAGATTTTGCCGAATCCGACTCTCAGATCCGTACCCATATCGGATACCCGCACCCGAGTCCGAGCAACTTAGATCAAACTATTTTTCCCCTTGAGGTAAAGGAACTATCTGCCAAGTATCATTATCATATAAAACAATCATTTTCTCAATTTATCCTGATACCAATCTGGAGGATCCATTATCCCTGCCACAATCATAGCTATTTTGACAGTGGATAAGTTTGTAACAAAAGCATATTATGTAGGTGAGAGATAGTGATAACTTAAGAAACTATAAGTGAGTAGTTTGATTACCTTTTCAAACAGCTTCATCCGATGATTGCTTGACTGAAGCAGAGAATGTCGTTAAAGAAGGCAATGAGTCACCATGTGGACTTTTTGTACTTAGCATGAACAAAAACTTCAACCAGAAATAACAAGCTTCAACCAAAGTCCATCAAATGCATTTTCTCGGGGTACTCTCATCTAAGGGTTACAACTTACAAATGCCATGAACCTACTACACATAAGTATTTTGTCTCAGCAAATGTAACATCCAAGACATCCACATACTTCTCATCCAATCCACTAAAGCCATCAAATATTACATTCAAGACATCCACATGCTTCTCACCAAATCCACCAAATGTATGTACAGTTCTTGTCATTCCAACTTTTCTGACTCCAGCTCTTTCATATATGAACCTAGTTGGAGCACATCTTTTTAATCATTCCAGATAGCCAGACCAAGTTTAATTAAAAGTATACAACACCCCATCCTCACAGGGAATCCTTATCTACTTTAGAATTGACATACCCAAAGATATTGTTTCAGTTGTATGCCTATACCCTGTGGCGTGCCTTTTATTTAAACAATTTCACATACTTCTTACTTTTGTTCTTGTGACTTGGCAGTGTTAATCCATTTAGACTTATTGGAGTTGGACTGACAGTCTGGACCTTTGCTACTGCTGGTTGTGGCCTGTCAATTGATTTCTGGTCCATTACCATATGCAGAATGTGAGTAGATTATGCTGGTTCTTTCAATAGCCGTCTTCTATTACTTGTTTTTTGTACTTCTTTTAGTTTTTTTCTTTTGGTGGGATGTTGATCCTATTTTTTTTCTAAATTTATTTCCTCTACCAGGCTGGTCGGTGTTGGTGAGGCATCTTTTATCAGCCTTGCTGCTCCATTCATTGATGACAATGCCCCAGTTGATCAGGTTTGATTTGCAGTGTGATTCAGTTATGCAGCGGTGCTGACTCTGAGTACCTGATGCATGCTTGTACTGCTGTTCTTTTGTTTCTGTTTTGAGGCTAAAAAAGATTTTGATTAGTTCTGCATGCTAATATCTGTTGCTAATGCGATGGGTTGTTCCTTTGCTTGTAGTTCTGGTTCATTAATGTGCAACATTCTTTACGCTTATGAGACAATGTGTAAGCTTTTGCATCCTTTCATTTTAAAAAAACTAGTCTCTATGTTCGTGCGTTGCACGAGAAATGCGTATTGAAAATAATAAGCTTTCAATCGCTTATACTGTTGAATATGCACAAAGTAGGAAGTTTAATAATCAATTCTTTAAAATAAAAAAAAAAAATATATAATTCAAATCAAGTTATCAACAACATTTTTGACATAATATAGGAGGAAAAAATGGAACTAATTAAATATTTTAGAATCACAATGTTATATCATTAAAATTGTAAACTCACTTTAAAATACGATATTATTCACTATTGTTTGTGAAGCGATGCTGAATAAGTATGAAATATATCTAATATTTGACTTGTTTTGGTTCCAACACATAATTAACTTCCCGAACTATAGATAATATTTTCTTCACACTTGGTTGTCTAATATTTATAGTAAGAATTATAGATAATGAATATAGAATTTGATTTCCATTAAAATAATGAATGGACGAATACGTTTTCTTTACGAAGTAGACTCTAAGAATGATATTTTGACTTGGACTCTACAATATTTGAATTGCTTTTCCGTTTTTAGACATTAATGTTTAAGATATAATTTAATTATGGAAGGGCATAATAGGCAGCTAATATTTTAAGGATATTTTTGTCGTTCAACATTTAGCGTAGAACATTCGTGCTTTTATAATAATATAGATGTTATGTCTATTTAACTTTGTGAGGTGTCCAATAAGGTATACACGTATTAATTGGGGCAGCGATTACCTTTGCTGTACATTTGAAGGATTCTCTGCATTGACATGTTACCTAGTCCATGGATTACCATGTTTCTTGATAAAGAAGTGCAATCACAATTCCTATAGTCAAATACTTAATATTAGTTTACAGATATGTATAGTGTAGTTTTGTCCCACATTGGAAGAGGAGTAATATTTCCTTATAGTGTATAACTATAAATAGGGACCTCTTGTATTGTATTTATCATCCAATATCAATAACATATTTTCTCCCGTGCCTTCTCAGATGGTATCAGAGCATTAGTGAGAAAAGATCGTTGTGCGTCATTCCAGCGTTAACCGGGAAGAAAGAACTTAGTCATCGTGCAATTTTTTCGGTGACCTAAGGCTTGTCTAAGTGAAAGTCACTTGCCACTTTCTGGCCATTTTTTCGCTAAGCTTCTTCAGGACAGTGTGCTCTCCTCAAAATTCTGAGCCTACCCATCTAATTCAAATCAAATTCCGACCACTTTTATGTTTTTCCGGCGTGAACAGTGACCTCTTCGGCCTTTTTTTGAAAACATTTCTTCAGGACAGCTTGCTCGCAAAGGAATTCCAAGTCTATCCATCCTGGTTACGACAAATTCTGACAACTTTGGAATTTTCCGGCGAGCTACAGTGTTTCCGGCGTGAACAGTCGGCACAAAACAATGTTCTGTTTTCCTGCTGTAAACAGTGTTTTTCAAGCTATTTCTTCAGTTTTCTCACAGGAGTTATTTATTTCCACTATTTCAAGTTAACCCTACTGCTACAAATTGTAGCGACATGGGAACCGATGCTTTGAATAGTCGGATGGTTTCTTTAGCAGAGTATATTGAGTTCCTTCAGTATAAAGCATGTAAGCAGACATTTTCTGAGATAGTTTCTGTTGTTCAAACAGGTAATAGCGTGACTTGTTTCTCCCAATCTTCATCCTCTGAGTCTTGGGTCATTGATTCAGGTGCATCAGATCATATTTCTGGTAACAAATCTCTTTTCACTACTATTTCATATTCTCAATCTCTTCCAAAAGTCACAATGGCCAATGGGTCTCAAACCATGGCAACTGCAATAGGTCAAGCAAGCCCACTTCCTTTCTTACCTTTAGATTCAGTCATTTATGTTCCCAATAGTCCTTTTAATCTTATAGCTATTAGTCGCTTAGCCAAATCACTTAAATGCGTTGTTTTATTTTTTGATGACCATGTTTTTATATAGGAACGCAGTACGAGGCGGATCATTGGTACCGGGCGTGAATCAAACGGACTTTATTACCTTATCCTTGCTAAATCATACGGACTCACATCTTGTCTTCCTTCTACAACTTGTTCTGTTATTGATTCACCAGATTTATTACATAAACGGTTGGGACATCCCAGTTTGTCAAAACTTC